GCTGAATTTAAATCCGCTTTCGCGCTTTGCTGGCGCAGAGGCAGATCGGATGCGCTAAGCGCTTGTCATATTATCACAAATATTAATTGTTTTCAACCATATAATACTTGTGTATTTAAATGTCTGAAACCTAAAATAAGTACTAGCAAAACCATACATTTACAGTTTGTAAAATGCACGCTGATGTCTATGGAAACGGCAATAATGATCCTTACAAATATAATCTGACGACATGTTTTTATTGATATCATATACAGATTGTGTAGGTAACTATAAAGTTTACTCTGCTCAGTTTACCGTTTACCGGAGACCTACTTTAACGTGTTTCGGGAGGAGAGGATGAATTTGCGTGTTGTAAAGCTCGGATTTCGAATTTAGCGAGAACTAACATGGCGGCGCCCATCCCCCGCTATAGGTCAACTAACACGGTCGATATAAACGTGTTTAAACTACAAATACATTTACTTGCATATATTTCAGAATCGGAATATCAGATAAAAGCGATCCATGTGTCACACAGATCTATTGTGGCTGCGTTGTGTCACATGACAAGCATGACGCGTCGCCATGGAAACAATAAGGCGATACATTTTAAAATAACGGTCGCCTAAAAAAACTCACGCTGGGGGCTCTTCTAGAATATTTTAAACTCGCGTGCCAAAGGGTTAAAAGCGCCGTGCGCATTTTACTTTCACTTTTGAATTGGCGGCAGTTAGGTAAACTAACATGTAAGTAAACATGTATAATATATAACCAAATAAATAAGAAACGTAGAAAGTTTATTAGCAAAACGAGTAAGAAAGCTTGGAGGCACGGCATACACCTTGATGTCAAATAAAATAAATAAATGACACAAAGTTTAAATAAAGTAAAAATCAGCAAACAATGTGGAACCAATTAAATAAGAAACGAATGTTTAAAAAAAACTTCCAAAATCACCTTAGATAAACGGCAAAAGTCAACAGGCTTTTCAAAATCCAAAATATTACCAAACAGGCGCTTTTGCATCTCGTTTCGAAACTAAATCAACTGCGATCATCTTTTCTGTCTCACCTCACTCTTCTTGTCAGTCAGCTCGACTCACTCTCCTCACTGGAGAAATGAAATCTGATCTGTGATGCGACTGTCATTCGGCACGCTGCATTGAGCAGCCGCGTCCAGTTTTTAATTTAGTGTCTGTTCTTTTACTGAACTAAATGATTTTTATTTCTATAAAAAATCAAAACGACGGTGGGGGTCGGTGACGCGTTGGGCAAGTGACTTAACCGGTTTGATTCGCGGCTTTTGAGAATCGATATCGAATCGATGTCATTTAAAAAAAAAAACGATTAATCGGAAAATACATTTTTTTGCCCAGCCCTAGTCATGAGTGACCAGAATTACTAATAGAAATGATAACTGTAAATTTATTTACTGTTTTTTTTTTTTTTTTTAAAGCACTTGTACGAAACTAAATCACAGAAGTGCATCTAACAGAACAAGCTAACTCAAGTGGCAACTACAAATGCATGATACCACAGCAGTGCAAAATGCCTCCAAAACTTAGCCATGCTGCTGCAACATTTAATTGCCACAAAGTCTGAAAATTGCAATTGAATCCAATAACTTCCATGTTATTGATATTTCTTATTTCAAACAAAACAGGATAAGCAGTTCTGGTTTAAAGTGGCAGCAGTAAATAAAAATAGGGCAGACTTCATGCATCCATGACAGTAGGTGTCAATATAAAGTCCAAGACCCCGTGACAAAGCTGAGCCAGTGAAATATGCTTGGGGTACCTTTTAAAAGGTCAGTTTCTTACATCTTAATTCCTAACTCAAAGGTGGTTCATGGCGTCGTGGTGGCGATGAGCGCAAGGACGAAAGAGAAGCTCCTCTCAGACCACATGACCGGGACCGTGATGGCGGTGAGAAGAGCACCTGGCGCTCTGACAAAGATAAGGAAAATCTGCGCCGGACCAAGAACGAGACGGATGATGATGGCTGGACCACTGTCCGCCGCTAAAGCATCAAAATTTTTTTGCTTGATGTTGTACTAAGCCTTGATGTGTTCTCTAATTAGTACAGGTCACTGCTTACATTAACGTGAAATACAAGCTTTGCCATAAAATTACAACACTTGCAATGGGTTTTCAAACATGGCTATTTATATTTCATCCCTTTTTAAAAACTTACATTTGAAAAGTATCTCATTCCTTTTTGTTATGCATGCTTAGAGGATTCAATTGGTCACACAAAATTACGTAGATGTTTTTTCTTTGAGGTGCGGATGTTGTAGAACATGAACGTTTTTGCATGACGTCTCATGAAGGTGTGGTTGTGAGGTTTTGAGATGAAATCATCAGGTTATCTTTACAGCTGTGTCCATGCTGTAGTTGCTGCTTATGCTGTGGTCGAATGCCCTCTAGAAATATGAAAAAAAAAAAAACTTTATTAATAAAGTCATTTGCTCATTAAATTACCGTAATTTCAGTTCTTATACTGCAGAAGACGATATGCTTTTTGTGTCTAATGAAACTGGAATAAGAATCCATGGTTATGTTAGACTTCAGACCTTATCAGTAGTTGATCATTTTGGCCACTAGGGGTCACCTAAATCTCGGCAAGGTTTTCTGAAGCTTTAGACGGCTCTCCATAAATGAACCAAGAACAATTGATTGGATCCCTCTAATCTATTCATTCTGTTGTTAATAGAAAATGATGGCGTTTAATACGATGATGTTGGTCCTCCTGGGTGATGCATTAAAAGGGTTTAGTAAATAAACTTTGCAGTCTTTGGTGATTTTTTTTTTCTTTGTGGCAAATATGACAATAAAAATGCAGACAATTCTAACAACAATGCAATGCCATAGCAGTATACTGAGATTTTATATCTACAAGAAAACAATAGCAATGGCATAATCCAGTCTCGATTAGGACGGTCTTTTTCTTTTAGGAAGGTTTTATGTGGTACAACGGGCGGTTTAAAAAAAAAAAAAGACTTACTGGCTCTTGGTTAAACTAACGGGCAGGAGGACCACACGCACACGATGATAAGAGGTAATCCTCGGTAAACCTCATCAATGCGAGTGCTTAGTTTCATGCAACGACTTCTTTGGATCGTGATTCTTCCCGCTGCTAGGGTGATAAACTTTTGCTCGCATTATATCATTCTGCAGAAAAGACTCGAAGAAAGAAACAATTATGTCAGCGGTCTTTGTTGCATTCTAGTGGAAAATCCACAATTAAGGCCAATAATCCCACAATTGGAGCCTCAAATTCCCATGCAAGAGGTTATGAACTCCCAAACTAGATTAGGCCCTTATATTTGCCAAGACCTACTTTGTGAAGTTTGACCACGGGTCACCGTGTGTAAACTCAGCCGACCTCGAGCTGGAGGGATGCTGCTTGTGAATGTGGGATATATACCTCTACACGGCACGTATCGCCTAATCTGTGCATCTGCCACCCAGTGCCATTTGTCAAAAAAGTTGTCTTCAGGTCTAGTTCCAGTCATTTACCTGTAATTTATAAACTCCGATTTGGAAATAATGTTTTAAACATTTTACAAGTTTAGTCTTGCAGATCTAAATCGTATTGTTTATAGTTCTTTTCGAACATATTAGGCTACATGCAGCAAGAGTTTATATAATAGCAAAGTAAACAAAAATTACGGCCATTACGGAATGCAAAACTCGGATGTTAGGAAAATGATCATTAGATAAAGGAAAAATCTTGAATGCTTCTTTTAAGTCTTCCAGTTGCACTGTAACCTAATGGTCTAAGACATTATTTTATATGGCTTAGCCTATAATGTGTGTATTTTGCATGTGGCTTGTGTAAGAAAGAAATATTAAAACTGATAAATACCTTTCAAATGCTTCATCGACTTTAACGTTCTTGGATGAAAACGACTATAATTGTCTGGGCTAAAATGCTTAATAGCATATTTCGTAGGTGTTTTTTCTTAAGTTTAAGCAAGCGAATTTCATGGCGGGATTCGAATGTTTCCGTCATTCAGACTTATGCTTAGGTTATATAACTTTTGTTTAGATATTTTTAATAGGATTGCTGAACTAAATGTTGATTTTTAGCAACAAGTGCAATTTCGGAATTCGTTTCCTATTGGCTCACTAGTGTGTGTGTGTGTGTGTGTGTGTGTGTGTGTGTGTGTGTGTGTGTGTGTGTGTGTGTGTGTGTGTGTGTGTGTGTGTGTGTGTGTGTGTGTGTGTGTGTGTGTGTGTGTGTGTGTGTGTGTGTGTGTGTGTGTGTGTGTGTGTGTGTGTGTTTTATTGCGCTTTAATTCAAAAGCAAAATGCACATAATTACAAAAACAAAAAGTGAGTAGGCTA